AATTTATTTTCAATGTGTTATTATGTATATGCAATAATTGTAATCTAGTTGTGTAAGTGTAATATGTGAGTTTAAAATCCATGTTCTCTTAAACATTTTTTCAAAATTTTTTTGAGTCAATGCCTTTCCTAGCATTAAATTGTTTCTTTCAAATCAGTACTAATTACTTTTAAAGTGGTATCACCATTAAGAAGGTTACCATTCAAGATTTAACTGCAAATTGGAAGGGGTGGTTTATATCAGTTTTTTCTTCTCCTTGATAAGTTGCCTTCATCATGGCTAACGAGGCCCACCTGAAAAAAAAAAAAAAAAATTATCTATATTCCATTTTTATCTCTGCAACAAAAAATATAGTTAAGCTGATAATCTACAGAAAATGAGTTTATTGCTTGTGGAAGGTGAAAAAGTAGCTAAATCTATATTAGATCATTAGTCAATTAATTAAAATCATGTGTTGCTATTGTGCATTATATATTGGCTAAAGGGGCAGGAAATACTTTGCATATCTTTTTATTAAATGCCATGTGTTTTATTATTTATGGTGTACGAGGTAATTTAGTCAATTTAAAAGGCCCAATCAAGAGCGATTGGTCTTATTTAGATATGGAACTCTAGATGCCCAGAAAAAACTGTTTTTATTTTCTTACTAAAGAATGTTGTTTAAATTACAATTATTGTTTTTTAAACAGCAAATAGTTTCAAAAGTGTCAATTATTTATATAAACGTTTGTTTTATTTAAAAAATGTTTATCCAGAATTATTAGAAGTCATTGATTAAAAACAATATCAGTACTATGAGTGCTTTAAAATTTAAATCATATGATTTAATATCAAAACACATGTATTAATAAAAAGTTTCAGTTTTATGATAAAACTTTTGGAAAAAACATCTTTTTTTACTTATGTTTCATGAAAATTGCAAATCTTTTATTATTTTCTTGAAATCTTTATTAAAAAAGTAAAATATTTGACCAGCCGTAAATTATAGATGCGAGCTTTATTTTCAGAGTTAAATAAATCAATTATTATGCAATTAAATTCACAGTAAAAAAATAATTTACAATGGTTTTTATCATATGATATTGGAAGGTAGATTGAGAAAAAGAGAGAGGGAGGGGGGGGGGGCATGGAGTGTCTTCAAGTACTTGTTTCGAATAGGCATAAGCGAATTCAAATTAATATTGTTTATTTTATTATTCTTTTTTAACTATTTTTTGTTTAGTATTAATATTTATTTATTATTTTTTAAATTTTGTTTACCTTATTTGTCTCTAAATATTTTAACAGGTCAAACACAGTTTAAAGCATGTTTCACAAATTTATTCTATACCTAAGAGTATTGCAACAGATGCCTTATCAACTGCCATCCCAAAAGGTTTTGGTGAAGTAGTAAGTATAATAATAAATGATAAGTTGATATTAATGATGTAAATCAAGATTTAATTTTATTATGAATTAGTTAAGATGAATAATGAAACAGTTGATGTAATTTTTTGTGGTTATGATATGATAATAAACATTATTTCTTAAGTAATTTTTTTTAGTCTCGAACTATAGACGATTATGGTATGTTGTTGCGGAAGCCATCTCTTCAGATAATAGATAATTTAAATAGAAACAAAAACGATGTCAAAAAGTATTTATTGTGTATCTTTTTTTTTTTTTAATTTATCTTTGTAATGATATTTATAGTTAAAATTCAGTTTCTATACAACTTAAAATTTTCATGCTGTTTATGGCGTAAAAGTTAATGTTCATTTAATAAATATAATAAATATAAAATAGTATTAGAGGTTATGATGAAAACAAATTAGGAGATTTAATGTTAATTTAACTTTGTAGAAATTTGTAACTCATAAAATTACCAGCAATTGAGAGTCCTAGAATTTATCATTTTTGAGTCAGGAGTTTTCATAAATTGATTTTGAAAAACAATAAATCGAGTTCTTTTTGGAACTTTACTTTTTATTTTAGAATATTTAAATTTTATAAATTACAAATTATATTCCTAAAGTCTTAAATTCTTTTAACATGTTTCATATTTGTAATATCTTTGTATTTATTTTTTACTTATAATATCTCAATTGTTTTATATTTGTAATATTTTATGTTTTATATTTAGTTTTTATTTATCTTTTATTTTTATCTGTAAGAGATAAAAAGTGATGAAACGTTTTTTATTTCTTTTTTTTAAAAGGTTTTAAAAGAATTGTTAAACAAAACCTCATATATGTCATTTATGTGTTTTTTTATTTCTTTTTGAACAATTAAATACATATCAGAATTATAAGAATTATTTTTAAATTATAAGAATTATTTTTAAAATTTCAATTAAATAAAAACTAAGAAAACTAACAAAAGTTGTATAAATAGTATAGAAATATGTAATAAAAAACATTAAAGAAATATTAAATACCAAATAGTTTAAGAATTATAACAGTAGTTTTATTATCAGATGTTATAAGTTTTTTAGCAAATTCAAATGTAATTTCCTTTACAGTTTTTAAGATGGCCATGATGGAAATGGTAAAGCAATGTCTCTCCTTCATATTATTCATTATTGTCTTCAAAATGATTGGATAATTGTACATGTTCCTAATGGTATGTGCTAAGTTAAGCAACCTTTTGTCTCTTCTTATTTTAAATATGGTTAAACAGGTTTGTTGTGAAGTTGTGACACTCACAAGGTATCAGGTATAAAAAAGTTTTAAAAATAAACATCAAAGTTATCTTACGATCCTGGCACCAGGTCCAACAATGATTTTTTTTTTAATTATACTTTTGTTAAGAAATTTTCATCATAAATTATTTTTTTAAATGATATTTAAAAAAATAATTTTGTTTTTCATGAATAATATTTTTTTCCTTTCACAATCAGACAGAAATCGAAAAATGCAGTAAAAAGTAAGAATCTTTAAAAGTCTGGAATTAAAATTAACAATTAATCTAAATTCATATAAATACTCAAATTGAATTTTTATATTTTCAAAAAATCTTGATTTTTTAATAATATAAAAATTTCAATATTGTAATTAATTTCAGATAGTTCTTCAAAATTCTTATCTGGATGATAATTTTGATTCTTTTAATTTATTAAGTATGATTTTTTCCTACACTACACATTCTTTATGATTTGCGAGTAGGGTGGAGCGATTTTCATAGCAAAAAAAAAGTAAAAAAAATATTTTTTGATTTAGATGAGATATTGAGGTTCCTCTTTGGATTCTAAATTCTTGACGGATCTTAATATTTTTGAATTTTTTTTATCTAAACTATATCAACCTTGGACTCAAAAAAAGCAGAAAAAAATGCTTGTTTTATCAATAATAATTTTATTAAAAAAAAAATTTTTAGTGAAAAAAATATTTGCAAAAATATACCTTAAAACCCCCGTTTTGATGAAGACAACGCTATTTTTTTCTCTTAAGTTTTAAATTAAAACAAATATTATTTTCAAAATAAGCATATTATTCTGCTTCTTTTGAGTACCAGGTTGATATAGTTTAGAAGAAAATTTCAACAGTATTAGGATTCTTCATAAATTTAGAATCCAAAGAGGAACCTCTAAAACTCATCTAAATTTAATAAAAAAAGTAAAGTTCTTTTTTCACCAAAAGACATCGATTCGCAGCTCAGGCAAATCAAATTTTGAAAATTTTTAAAATTGCTCCACCCTATTTGCTAGTTTCTTAATTTCTAATTTAAATTTAAATTAGTTTTTTAAATTTTATTTAATTGCTTGGTGCCAACCTCTTCTGCGGACTGTTTTGCATCCTGTAATAGTAAAGTTTTTAACAAGGTGAAAAATTGATGCAGCTTTTTTTTTTTAATTTCTGTCTTCGAATTTTTAACATAATAAAAATAATTGTACCATATCAACATATTCAATTTGATTGTCCATTAGAATTACAAAGTTATGTTGAATGCCAATCTTTATATTTTTGAGTCAAACATAAGATTGGCTAGATTATACGATTTATTTCATCTTTTTAAAGTCAGCTTTTTTCATGTTCTCTAATATATTTAATACAGTTGTCAGGATTTCCCATAGTTTTCTATTAAAATATGTCTTGATTGTTAAATGTCCCTACATCTTGATTACTAAACTTCATTATATTTTAATTTGATTTTTTTTTAAATGTTACCTTATTAACAATAAACTTTAAATATTTGTATGGAAAATAGAATGTGGAAAATCATCAAAATCTTCTTAAAGCAGCAAAGCCTGGACTCTAGAAACCTGGACTTAAGGCTGATGGTCTTCCCAATGTCCATTCCCATTATATTTATCTTTATTATATTTATTTTTTTAATTTAAAAATGTCATTTTTATTTTATTAAAAGTTGTTTGATAGTCTTTTTCTAATGAAGGATTTAGATTTATTGATGGCCAAACAAAAACGATTGTCCAGCCTTCAACTTGGAACAATACACGTTATGATCAACCAATTGAAGCTGCTAACTGGTTAAATTCATTTAGCAAAATTAACTATAAATTTCTACATGATGTATTTAATTTCAGTTTTTATTTAATTTTTGATTTCTGCTTCTATTTGTAATTTTTATTTTATTTTTATTTAAAACTTTATAATTACTTTTGTTGCATTATTTATTTTGTCAGCATTTTTTTTTTTTAATTTTATTTTGTAAAATGTATGCAAATGTACAGCTTTTTTTTTTAAATTGCTTCTAATGATAAAACCTTTTTAGTTGAAAACAACTCAGACATACAAGTGGGGGAAAAGAGAAACAACGGAGGAAGGCAAATCATTATATGATGTCGTATCACAGGTATTTTTTTTTTTGTGTTTGATAAGGTTTTAAACTTGTAAATATGAAAACTAGCTCATTTTTAGTGCATATATATCATCCATTTATTATGCTACCATTTTGTTTTTATAATGCTGCCTTTGTATTTTTTTTATCTTATTCTACTTTACAAAAGTGAAAAAAATGATTACATATAGTTTTATTTAAACATGTAACAATTTCGACACATCACATGTTTCAAAGTCTGTTTTTCTATTTTGTTTTATAATAAATAAAAAAATAATAGAGATTGAAAAATAAAAACCGCGTTGTAGTATGGTATGTAATATGGTTGGTGAATGATATAATATAATTGGTAAATGTTGTCATATTATTGATAAATGGTATTGGTCAATAGTAAAAAGTTTAGGAATATTTAATTATGTATCAATGCAGGCTTGGATAATGAAAACTCTACTGGCAAAACTGGAAATAGTTGCCTCATAAATCCTGATATTCAAAAGTTTTTAAATAATAAAGAAATCACCTGAAGCGAAAGTTCTAAGATGATTAAAAAGCATATGAGATCTAAAACCAAGTATGCCTCATAGTCATTTTGAAATACTTATTAAGTGTCAAAAACTTAATGGTGTGAGTCTTGTAAAATTCTTGTGTAATTCACATAAAATATGTAAAAGTCACAAAATGTTTTGAACTTATTTATAAATTAACAAAAATAAAAAATTCTTTATAAAAATAATGGTATAAAAGATTTTTAGGAAGACATGGAAAAATAGTTTTAAACATTCAAATTTATCATAAAAAATACATGATTACATAAATATATATATATATATATATATATATATATATATATATATATATATATATATATATATATATATATATATATATATATATATATATATATATATATATATATTTATATTTATATATATATATATATATATATATATATATATATATATATATATATATATATCATATTTTATTTATTTACACATGCGTTTATGTAAACAATTATTATAATTAATTTTATGGTTTTATTTAAAGCTTTTGCGTAAATTAAAAACTTGATAAAAGATCAACGATTACAAGCTATTCATTGTTAAAACAAAAAACAGCCATGGTCAAGTTGTAAAGAAAAAAAAATATTAGCGTGGTCAGTAACAAAGTGCGATTGCATGCCATTCCTGTCCAAGCCTGTCAATGCAAATAAATTTGTATCAAATTTAATTTTTATTAAGAACCAGGTATTACCCTGCTACTTCAGATAGATACCAGTCATGTAAAAAAATTTCAAAACAGAAAACATGGCATGAACATTTCAATATTATATATTTAATACCTTTTGTTGTAAACAATTTTGGTCAAATATTATTGGCTGAATTGTATAATTACCTATGATTACTTGGTGATGCTGTTACTATAATTACTATAGGGTCATTCTTATCTCATTTTCAACAAATTGACGACAGCAAGTTGTTCTAGACAATACAACATCAGGATGGGTACCAGTGTCTAGCGGTGTTGTCCAAGGATCCGTGCTAGGACCATGTTTGCAGACGACACCAAATTAATAGCACCAATCTGGCCAGGAAACGAAGAGCTTGACACTAAAAGCCTGCAAGATGACATCAACAAGATAAGTGATTGGTGCTGTACTTGGCAAATGCAACTAAATCTTAGTAAATTGAAAGTGATGCACATTGGACGAACAAACAAATCAACGGCATTCGCTATGCTAGATCCACTATCAGGTGAAAAAAGAGATCTAACAACAACAATAATAGAAATAGACCTTGGAGTCGCAATAATTCAAGATCTTAAGCCAGAAAAACAATTCAATAAAGCTGCATCCATCGCAAATAAATTTCTTGGGTTGTTAAAAAATATGTTTATATGCAAGATCCAGCACTATGGAGAAAACTCTATACAACATTTGTCAGACCAAAACACACTTAAAAAATTCAGTGACAAGCCACCAAGATTGGACACACAGTGAGGCAACATAACTATGAAGAAAGGCTAATCAAACTCAACCTAACTAGTCTAACTTTGGGTCGACAATGGGACGACCTCATTCAACAATTTAAAATATTAAAAGGAATCAACAAAGTAAAATGGTGTGTACCAACAATCACAAGAGAGCGGGTTGTAGAAGATTACTGAGCAAAGAATTAGTCCATAACAATGCAATGCGAAGCAATTTCTTCACTAACAGAATCATGAACTGTTGGAACTCGCTATCTGGCGATACAGTGAATACAGAAACAGTCAATGCATTTAAGAATCATCTAGATAATCTCCAGCAAAGTTGCTACAGTGTCAACAATTTTATTCAAAATTATTGACTTGTAAATTATTTATTTTTGGAGCTAATATGGAGGCTGTCACCTGAAATCCCATAGGAAAATGTTGATTGCATATACTAATAGGAAAAAAACTAAAATTTTTAGGTCAGAGAAACAATCATTTTTTGAACCCAGAGTCTTTAGGTATAATGGCAGCAAGGACTCCTAGACTCTGGGCCTAAAAACAATAAGTTCCTAGTCATTAAATCACATGAATTTTTTTCTTATAACAGATCATAAGTCAACAAACATATTTAGAGCTTTTGGACACTACAGACCTGGAAAAAATAGAGATATAAAGCCGGAGTCCTTTTGAAACTTCACATCCTGGTCTCCAGAATCTTTTTTTTATGTTTATGGCTATTATATTAATATCACTTAAAGTAGCCAAATGGAATAAGTGCAGTATAACTTTTGTACTACAGAAATGCCATTTAGTGACCAGATTACGGAATTTGCTTCAAAAAAGTTGTAGGATTTGTGTAAATCAAAACAGCAAAATGAATTTGAAGTCTATTATGATGTAAAAGACAGTATTTGCTTCTGCAGTCATGTGAATTGCATGTTTATTGCTTCAGGACAATAACCTGTGTTATGTTGACTTTTTTGTTGGGGTTACAAGAGGGTTTACCAAACATTACCTCAACTGAAATAAAAAAAGCTAAATGTTTTTTCATAAAACTTAAAAGTGTTGTAAGCATTCTATTGTCTATCAGTGCATCTGTAGGTTTTTTTTATGTGGAATAGTAGAGCTGATTATAATAAATGATGTTTGGTTAAGAAAATATAGTAATACTTAAATAATGTTTTCAAAACTGTTTAAAGGTAAGAAAAAAGATGGTATAATTGTTGGTCTTTATATAAATTTTATGTTAAAGTCTGAAAGGCTTCAAAATGTGATACTTGAGTTAAAAGGCCTGGTATGCCTTTCATGTTGTTGTCAGAATATAACATTTTTGGCTTTAGTGTGTCTTTTATGTTGTAGTCAGAATATACCATTTATGGCTTTGGTGTGTCATTCATGTTGTAGCCAGAATGTAATATTTATAGCTTTTGTGTGTCTTTCATGTTATAGTCGGAATGTATTATTTATGTATTTGATGTTTCTTGCTGTATAACAGTAGTTATACAGCATATTGCAGAAATCAGAAAAATTGCATGAATTTTTTAGACAAATTTGTATAAATAAGTTCAACTTGATAAAATTACCATTCTTTTTTATTCTCTTTTCATTGAGAGAGAGAACAAAATTATATTGATGTTTAAAACTTTCTCAAATAATATTAAAAATGCTTTTAAAAAAGCCTAAATAAAGACTATCAAAGCATTTTATATGCTCTCCTAATAAAATAGATACCTGTGTAAAAAAAGCTCTCCTAATAAAATAGATACCTGGTCAACAGATAAGACTCATATTACTTATTTTTTTCTTTATGACCACAAAGTGAAACATTCTAATATTTATTTTTTCAGTTGAGTTTTATATATGGTAGGTTCAGTTGAATATAAAATCTGGTTAATGTAGTTTTAAACTCTTCATAAGTATTTAAAATAACTTTTTGTATATTAAATTTGTATATTATTTTTAATTAATAATAATTAATTTTGTATATTAAATTTGTATATTGTATATCTTTTTTTTTTATACTAGGCAGCTGGACGTAACATTTATGCAACCGATGCTGTTGGAGTGTTGCTTAAAGAAATACAAAATCAAAATAAGTAAGAGACAGAATTTAAATTTTTTTTTCTGCTTAATTTGGGATAAATTTATTTCTAACTAAAAAAAAAGTAATTTTAATTTATTTTATGATTTCTTGAAGAGTTCATGTTTTGTATGCAGTCAATGGATTAAACGCTTTCTTTGGTAAAACATCGCATAAATATAATGGAAAGCTTGTGAGATTTTTAATGTTTCATTTTAATAGTTTAAGTTTAGTTTATACTACAGTAAAATTGTTGTCAAATTTGGAATATGTTAAATAATCAAGTAAAACAATTTACCAGAAAATAAAGCAAATATAAATAATATAAAATAGTTTAGACACTATTAAATGTGGTTAGGTATATTAATAGAATAAAATAAGCTATTAGTTACCAAATATAATCTTTCTAAAAATATTATTATTATAAAATATTCGTATTGTAAAATATTATTATTATAAAATATAGTATAAATGTTATGAAAATATTCTTATTAAAAAATACTTATTAGGAAGCGATTGAGTGCAAATTATTGCACTTGAATTTATCTATTTTAAATAAATTACATATTTTTATTTGTTATACACAAGAATTCAATTAACAAACTTGTCAAATTATACCGCGAACAGTTTTGTACATAACAGAAAATTTTAAATTTTTTTCCAAAAACGAAAGTTAAAAATGACATAAATTTACATGTAAGATTAAATAATTTTATTAATGTTTATAAAATCAGTTCTTTTTTTTAATTTCTTATTTTTTTTCTTTAGGTCGAGGTTGAAAATCTAGGATTAGTGAATCACTTTGTTAAATTGTTAAAAGACAAAAATAAGCTGGTATCTTTTTTCTCTAGATTGACAAGATAGCATTTTTACTTGATGTTTTAACTATTTGACAAAGGTTGATAAACAAATGTTGACAAAAGTTTTAAGTGTTTTTAAATTTATGATATTTTTTCTTTTGATAGAAAAAAGGTACTTATGTGACAAGTATCACTCAGACTTCACAGTTTTCACAGAAGCGTGTAGATCCTCAAAATTTACCAATGCTACTCGGTGAAAAGGTATAAGTTTATATTTGTCAAGAAATTTAGATTAGTAATTTAATACATACATATATATATATATATATATATAATATATATATATATATATATATATATATATATATATATATATATATATATATATATATATATATATGCATTCCCCAATGGTAATGTAAAAACCAACCTCTATTCATGAAAGATCTTAAAAACCTTGTTGAGCCTCTTCAGATATACCTAATTGGAGAGTAAATAATTCAATGACTTCATAGCCATGAATCAAAATCTTATGAAGTGCTTGGGTCATAGGATACCAAAAATACAGGTCTACATACAGCAGAGCAGTTACCTAACAGAATGTTTTAAACTTTTATGAGCTAACGTCAACAACATCAACAACTTTCTATAAATCATTTTACAAAAGTTTTGATAATAATGATAAAAATAATAATAGTAATAATAGCAAAAATGTATAATAATAACATAAGATAAAAAAAATAATTATACAAATTATAGTAATAGTAATAATAAGTATGTTTACAATAATTACAATTAAAAAACGATAATAATAACTAATATTAATATAATAATAAGTTAATGATTTATTAGGATGGTGTCACTCATACAGAAATCTGATCAAAGGAGTGACACCAATTTTTAATATAATAAAAGTAATAATAAGCAAAGACATGCACTGAAACACATAGACCGTAAACACAAACCAAAGCACATAAAATATACATCAAAACAAACATGTAGAAATCAATTTGCAAGGGTTACTAATTAAAAAAATAAACAAAAAGTGCTGATGATAATTGTTGTATAACGAAAAGAAAATAATATTTAAATCATAAGGATAATAATGCCAAAAAGTTAGAATAAAAAGTTTTTCAGAATTTTTTTAAATTGATATTAAGATGGAGTAAGGGTATTTTAGGATATATTTTTTGGACTCATTCAAAATGGATGCAAGGCTCCTGTTCCATTCACAGACGCACTGATAAACAATAGAACGTTTACCATATTTCTGGGTTTTAAAAGATGGTACATTTAGTTTTCCATTGTGTATACTTCTTGTCGAGTAGGAATGTAATAGTCTACTTTTTGTGAACAAGTTTGTGATAGGAGATGGTATTTTTTTATTTAAGGAGTCAAAAACAAAAAGAAGATTAGCATACTTTACTAGCGCTGGAAATGTTGGAATGAAAAGTTTTTTGAAGGACTTTGATGTATCTGATTTTAATTGGTTGGAAGTTTATTAATCTGATGGATTGACGCTGAGACTATAGCAACTTGTTAATGCGATAGTTTCCAACTTGACCCCAAACTTAACAACAATAGCAAAGATGATTATGAGAATAATACATAGTAGATACTCCTAAGTGTAACTTTATCAACATAATGACGAATTATTGAAAGCATACCTTTAGCTTGAGATAATTTCTTGCTTAGTTCATCAATATGAAAGTTCCATGAAAGATTACAATCAATTAATACACCAAGATATTTAATAACTCTTGAAGGATATAGCTGTTTATTATTAATTTTGATTTTGATTTCAACATTTTTGAAGAAATTGTTTTTTCTTGAAGATGAAAAAAAATTAGTTCAGTGTTTTCGGTGTTGAGACATGAGGTTAGCATTTAACCAGTGAAATATACCTTTTAGATCTGAATTAACATTTTTACATAAAGAATGATACGATTTGTTGATGTGCAAGAGATTTGTATCATCAGCAAACAGATGGACTGAAGAGAAGTGAACAGAGTTGATTAGGTCGTTAACGTAGATTAAAAACAAAAGAGGACATAGAACAGAACCTTGAGGAACACCACACAAAACTGATTTATAACTAGAATTGAAACCATTAATACTTACAAATTGTTTTCGATCTGAAAGATAAGATCGAAACCAATCATTTACAATACCGGGAATTCCATGATGTTTTAATTTAGAAATCTAAATACTATGGTCAACGGTATTGAAAGCATTTTGTAAATCGATAAAAACACCACAAACGAAATGACCAGTATCAAGAGCTTTCCTGATTTTTTCTGTTATACTTATTAATGCATGGCAAGTAAAATGTTTTGATCAAAAACCAAATTAAAAATCATTTAAACAACTATATGAGTTTAGAAAAGAGTACAATCTAGAATACAAAAGTTTTTCAAGAAACTTACTAATGTTAGATAAAAGAGAAATAGGTCTGTAGTTAGTGCATGAAAGTTTAGAGCCATTTTTAAATATTAGAATAATGCAAGATAATTTCAAAATATCAGGAAATTTTCCATTTATAAATGAGATATTAAATAGTTTAGAAAAAATATTTGAAAAATCGTAGTTAAAATCTATTAGAATTTTTGTGGAAATGCTGTTTGGACCTAATGATGTTTCTGGATTTAATTTAGATATAAGAGATGAAAATTCAGAAATATTTGTTGGAGATAATAATAAACTATGTAAATTTAGATGTTTAAGATATTTTTGATAGTTAATGTAAGATGAATGAATATTGGATTTGAGTTGAATGGAATGATTGAGTTGAATGGAATTAATTGAGTGGAATGAGCAACATTTGTAAAAAAAAGTGTTAAATGGTTCAGAGATTAAAGTCGGGTCAGTTATATATGTATCATTTTCTTGCAAACAGTTGGGAGATGATTTATTCAAATTTTTTACATTAATTAGAGTGTTAATACCTTTCCAAAGTTTGATAAAATATGAAGCCTTTTTATAAGGCTTTGCATCTATGTTCATTATATTAGATGAGACATCGTGTTGCTAAAAAAATTGCCTAGCTGTGTTACTATCGTTTGATGTACCTGCCCCACCTACTCTTGGTTGGTCTATGACAAAACCCATTCTTTTTTGAAATTCAGCTTGAACTCGAGCATTTCTTAGTTTCAAGATTTTTTTCTTCTTCAGTCCTTAATTAGCATCTTGTAAGAGATACGGAACATACATTCTAAAGACCTTATCAAAGCATGCAAAGTTGAAACACAATGTCTGATATTGCCTTTTAAAGTTTTTTGATGAACTATTAAAGATGAATTGTTTATTTTGGTTGGAGATGCACACTGATCAGCATTGGTAATAGTTAGTCGCTGTGAAAATAATAGTTTGAATTTTCCCATCTATCCTTGTTATATTTATGATATGTTGTACTTCAACTTCCTTCATTGTACCGTCCTCCTATAAAACAGATACTTTGGATAATAATATTTTTAATAGAAGCCATACTTGACTCGCGTTCTGCAAGAACTACTTCCATAGATTTTTTTCTATATCTAAATCTGAGAGGTCTACAGTAACAAGTTTATGATGGTTTTGTATTTCTCCAAACAACTTGTTTTTTTTTCATCTTTTAAACAATATAGTTCTAGAGGGACAAAACAAGTTATGAAAAGCGATTTGTCAGTATTAATTTCAATCGTATAATCTGACTGTTATTTATAAACAGACTTTTATGGTGCCATGTCGCGCCATCAAAGCCAGCTTTGTATATTAGAACTAATCTGATACAATCTTTGAGCACAGAATTTAACATAACACTATAAGCTGAACATAATCTTGATGCCGTATGAAAAATAAGATCTTGTAATGGTACCACTGCATAATTGTCACTGACCTAAATGTTTTTAGGATAGCATTTATTTTTATCCTCTTTTACTATATGATATGGTGGGTATAGAGAGCATTTATTTTTAACCTCTTTTACTATATGATATAGGTATATATATATATATATGTATATATAGGTATATATATATATATATATATATATATATATATATATATATATATATATATATATATATATATATATATATATATACTATATGATATAGGTATATATATATATATATTTTACTATATGATATGGGTATAGAGCATTATTTCTATATTTTCATTAAATGCTGATAAGTATTTTTTGAATAAATTAGCATCTAAGGTTAACGCTTATGGTTGTTGCCGTGTTTTTTATCGAATACGTATAATTTTATTGTTTTTGGAAATTTCAAAATAATAAATAAATAATATTAGTCATATCTTGAACTTGTATAAGGTACAAGTTCATAATTTCATATTTTATTTAGTTTTTATTACTTTAAAATAATAGCATAAAAAAATGACAAATAATGGTTTCAATGCAATCTAAAATTTTTTTGTTTTATCAAAATATTACCAAAATAATATATAAGTTTTTCACTTTTTTTTATTTGAGCGAATACTATGCAGTAACTAGAAGTCAAAAAAATAAAAAATATTTTTCATAAAACTTTAGTCAATGAAAAAAATTATTAAGAAGTCAAACTGCAGTTTTTTTGTTTTAATTCCTCTTAAATTTATTATTATCGATAATAGTCGATAAAAAAACACAATAACGAGAAACCTTGACGAAGTTATTTGAATTAAAAGTGTATTCGTTTAGGCAGCTATAGGCAGAGAGTTTTTGATCCACGAGATCAATACCATAGTGGTGTTCAATAATATATAACTTTCAGCTGTTAATACAGGTTGATTCGTTGGTTTTAAATGATATGTTTGAAAGTTTTTCTTTTTTCACTCAAAATGAACGATGTTTTCTTTGTTAAAAATATTTATATATTGTGCAAACAAAATAATTTTTTTTTTTTTTATCAAAATATTACCAAAATAATATATAAGTTAATTATATGGTAAAAAAAATCAATTTAAATTTGTTTAAATATGAAATCAAAGTTTTAAAAAAATGTAAAAAAAGAAAATTTTTTTCACTTTTTTTTTTTTTTGATTAAAAGTTTTTAAGGCGATATAACAAATATGATATTTTATCACAAAAATATTTTCTAATAAAATATAATATCTGGCTCAATAATATGTTGAATGATTCTTGCCATTTTTTAAATTTCAAAATTTTTTTGTATGGTTTTTTTTTGTATGGTTTGTATGGACCCACTGTGGCATGTTAAGAAATCGAAGCAATGTGATTGAGTTCCTCAAACAAAAAAATAAAGAATAAGCTACAAAGAAAGTTGCTAAACGTAAAAGTTGCTAAACTTAATGCAAAGCGTAGACTTTGTATGTCGATTACTCAATTGCCTGAGCAAAACAATGCTGAGCAACCAAAGCAAAACATTAATGAAGACCAAGAACCTGCAACTAAACGATTAAAAGTTAAAAAATGTAAAAAGTGCAGATTACAATTACACACAGAAATGTCACAATTTTAGAATTTGATGTGTTGGGGACGGTTGTGAAATATATTTTCACAACAGTCAAGAAACAACCACAAGAAACATGTTTAACAAAAAATACGTTGTTGGTACTAAATTTTTTTGTTGCAAAAAATGTATAATTTCAATATTGTATTGTTGCAAAAAATGTATAACTTTATCAGAGCGTCACTTGAAACAGCACAATTTTTTTAATAAATTTAATATTTTCGATAATTTGAATATCATTTTATATTTTAAATATATTCTTATGTAGTTTTTTACTACCTATTTAATAAAAAAAAGTTGAACAAAAAAAAAGTTATTTAATTTTTATTGATGCGGTTTGACCCGGTTTTACTATATACAAATATAAGTTATATATTAATTAGGGCTTGGTAACCAGTTGGAAACCGCAATCGTTCAACCATTTTTTTTTTCAGTTTCTTGAAACCGAAAACTGGTTGTTTTTTTTTTCTTAAAAAAAAACAACCAGTTAATTATACATTGCTAAATACATAATTAGTTAAAAGATTTCTTGTTTTAACAACTTGGCGTTGTTAAAGGCACTTTTAAAATATTATAGCATCTGGATGATATTTTGTTGACTATGGCATATTTCCATTAAATGGTCAGGTCTGTAAATTATGAAGACGAAAAATATTAAAATGATAAATTTTGCGGTATCATAAAATATAAATGTTTGTAGTGAAAAAACCCAGACCGAAAATTCTTTTATATTTTTTAAAATCATCTTAATATCACAATTGCTCATCCAAATTTGAATAAGATTTTAAACTAATACGTTTTTAAGGTGAAATGAACATTATAGTTTGACAAAATGATCTGTTCTGATCATTTATTAGCAATTTTCCATAATTATAAGCTCTTTCTTGGTCGGAATTCTAGTATTTTTTGTGAAAATTGATAGAAATATTGTGTTTTGACATCTAGATATAGTTAATATACGTCAGAACCGATAAGAACTCGGATCAGTAGTAAATTAAGGAACTTTTTCAAAAGATTTTAAGTAAATTCATGTTAACGCCGATCATGTTAATGCACGCGTGTATTCAAAAACGATTACTTTACATAGATCATAATTTTTGTTGTGATTACTAATTGATAACTGAAACAGTTGTTAAAAACTTATCCAGTCAACTTTTGAGAAAGTAATCCATTTTGATTAGGGAAAAAGCGCCTATGATGACATAGCGCCTATGATGGCATATTGGTCATATTTCCACAAAAATTGGTTTTGGTGAAAAAGTGATTAGACCTACATGACTATACTGGCTTTACATTAGTTTTAGTGAGAATACGTCCCTTGTGCACAAATTTTGTTTTTATAATCAACAAAAATCGATTTTGAGATGTGCTGTTGTAGTTTTTTTCCCTTCATATATTTAAAATTGTGATTTTATTATTAACTGTGCAGAAAGGGAATTTTTATGCATTTTATATCTAAGTTTTGTGCATTTAGTGGAATACTTACTCTAATTTTATCTTTTTAACAAGGCAGACACGACTTGTTTTAATGAAAATGATAACTTCTTGCCATGATGGCATACTGGCGAGTTGGGCCTGTTGCAATATTGATGAGTTAAGAATCTTTTTTTTTTTATAAGAAAAACTTATTTTTAAGTAAAGTAAAAAGAAAGCGATGCTCCAAAAGTTTTTTTTTGGTCCAAAAAATACCTAAAGCGCAATATATTCTAAGTTAAAGTTTTCAAAGTAAAGTAAAAATTTCAAAGTTAAAGTTTTCAAAGTAAAGTTTCGCGCATGAAATGGTAAATTAGGATGGTTCCGAGTAATTTCTGGCTTTTCTGAGGGAAGACTCTAAGGTTAAATGAAATTATCAAGTTACCCTTGATCCTAAGCAGCCCCATCCTCTCCCATGCCATCATAGGAGCAGTGGTTACCTATGAGGGCATACTTGTGCTTTTAAAAATAGAAATAACTTATAAAAAATTAAAACTTTTTTTTTTTTAAAATAGAAATAACTTATAAAAAATTAAAACTGATGAAAACTCGGAGGGTTATTATTGTTCTACAAATTTAAAGGAATGTATCTATATCAAAACTTTTATTATTGGTTACTGAATAATGAAGCTTCAAAGTTAAGTATGCCATCATAGGCACCTTTCTCCTACAGCTTACAAAGTTTACAAACTACTTTTGAAAATTTTTACTTTTCCTTGGAATAATTATAAAACGAAGACTGTATTACGATTTTAAATAATTTTTGGCTTCGTTCTCCCTCCATTCAATGGAATAGTTATTTTTAGGTTACATACTGACAAAATCTTTTAACAATTTTTAAATCAAAACAATCCACAAAAGACAAGTAGCACTAATTTGAAATACTTTGTCAACTTTAAGATATTTTCGTTTTTTCTTTCATTTCATTTGTTGCTTAACTTTTTTTTATTGTTGTTTAATTATTTTAATTTGAGATTGTTAAATAACAATTTCAAAATCGTGCACCCCATATTTCATAATAAAAAACCGGTGAAAAAAGCAGAAACCAGTTTTTTTAAATTTTCCGGTTTTTGCCAAGCCCTAATATTAATATAATATATAACTTGTGATAAACAGTTAATTTTTTTTTTCGCTTTTACTTAATATTTTTTCTTTTTAAAACTTTTCAATAAATATATATATAATTGTTGTTTTGTTTTTTTCTTTTAATTTTTTTGTTTTTTTAGGGGTTCGATTTTGTGCAAGATTTTGAAAAATTGGAAATAGATAACTATAACGATGAAGAATATGAGATTATGATGAATTATTACAGATACAAACATTGGTTGACCAGAGGTATAATTTATTCTAAAGGTTATTAAAAATATTTAAAATTTTTTTAAAAATATTATAAAAGGTTATTAAAATTATTAAAAATATAAACATTAGCTGATCAGAGATACAACTTATTTCTACGTAAATTTATTTTTTAAAAACTTGCTTTTTCTTCTATAGGCGAACCATTAAAATTTTTCAATAATTAAATAATAATTCTTTTTTAATAATTTTATCTAACTCCTGTTTCGTTTGGTTGATTTTAAATAGTAAGATATAAGTCACTAATCTTTCGCATTTTAGTTATATACATATATATATATATACATATATATATATATATATATATATATATATATATATATATATATATATATATATATATATATATATATATATATATTTATTTATTTTTAAAGACATTACAGAGAAATGTTAACAGACAAATAGAATTGTTATAAACCAATAAAAATTATAATAATAAATATATATATATATATATATATAAATATATATATATATATTATATATATATATATATATATATATATATATATATATATATATATATATATATATATATATATAAATATATATAAATATATATATATGTATAAATATATATATATATATATATATATATATATATATATATATATATATATATATATATATATATATATATATATATATTTATACATATATATAGTTATATATATATATATATATATATATATATATATATATATATAATATATATATATATATTTATATATATATATATATATATATATATTTATACATATTTATATATATTTATATATATTTATATATATATATATATATATAATATATATATATATATATATATATATTTATATATACATATATATATAATATATATATATATATATATATATATATATATATATATATATATATATATATATATATATATATATATATATATATTTATACATATTTATATATATTTATATATATATATATATATATATATATATATATATATATATATATATATATATATATATATATATATATACATATATAAGTGAAAAATTTAACTTAAGAAGTGAAAGATAAGGTTTTAATCAATTAAATAGTATACGGAAGAAAAGAAAACTTTTAAATTTGCAGAACCCCTGGTAAAGAGATTTAATCTTTTAGTGAGAGATTTGGTTTTAAGTAAAGGAAGTGCATATTTGTTGGTTTTAGACTGCGAGATAAGTGTTTATTAGAATCATCTACTTAACATTTTGAATCACGAGATCAATTTCGCTCTCATTCAGGGTTGCCACCAAATCAGGGAATTCAGGGAAAATCAGGGAAATTTAGATACAATCAGGGAAAATCAGGGGAAAATGATTGATTTAGGAAAAAATCACGGAAAATCAGGGAACTTTTTAACTTTTCTTTAATGTTTTGATATTTTTTCTAATAAAAAACTTACTTTTCAAGGGTACCAAGGTTAATGTTTAACATTTTACCAATTTAAGGGTACCAGGGTTAATGTTTAACATTTAGCAAGAAACTTAATCATATTGTGTTTACATTAATTCAATGTTTGCAACTCAATCCTTTATTTGAAAAATGGCTGGTAATAGGCAGTGTAAATAAGTCTGCCAAATGCAAAATATGAAAAGTTGAACTTAATTTGTCAAATATGCAGATGAGTTATGATAAGTTACATGGATGGCAAAAAACATGCACAAAAGTCAAAGCCAGTATCTCGCCTGCACAGTCTACATCTATAAAGCAAGCACTTCAAACAGTATATTAATGTGATAAAAGTTGTACAGAAATCTACTCTGTTTTAAATGCAATACAGAATAATTTTTCATTAAACTCATGTAATGAAAATGGCCTAGTTTACCAGAAAATGTTCCCTGATAGCAATATTGCTAAATCTTATGAAATGAGTGAAACAAAACTTGGTTATATAATTAATTTGTTAAAAAAACTAACCAAGTATTGGGACACTTTTCTTAAAAGTAAGCAACCAAAATGAAAGAGCTATGACAAGTGTTCGGGACAGAGTTGTTAACAAGGCCAAAAGTATCAAGACCAAGGTCAAGGACACATGTTACAAGTCCAAGATCAAGGTCAAAGGTTACAAGGCCAAGGACAAACCGAAGGCCAAGAGTTTAAGGCCAAGGTTTAAATTAAGAGTTTCAAGGCCAACATCTACGCAAACATTTTTAAGACTAAATACTTTAACTTTTGCCTTGCGTTTAGGCCAATTATTAACACAACTGTAAGTAGCAAGTGGTGTGACAATAAAACCACATTTTTTTAAAATAGACCAAGGGTATGGGCAGAATTAAACAAAATCAATAAAAAAATTCGTTTTTTTTTTATAGGCCAAGACCAAAATTTTCAAGGTCTAGACCAAGTCGAAGGCTAACAGTTTCAAAGCCAAGATTAAGGCCAAGGCCTCAATTTTCAGTCTTAAGGCAAGGTCAAAGCCAAGGACTAGCAACTCTGATTCGGGGAAACAAAAGATGAGTTAACTTTGACTAAATTGTAGTTTTTTGGTTACATTGCAAGTTTTTTGCAGAAAATCTTATTGAGATATCAAACCAATGCCCCAATGATTCCTTTTCTTTTTAAAGATTTGTTCTCAACTGTTAAATGTTTAATGGGTTTAATTATAAAACAAGATATCCTTAGCAGCATCGTTAATGGCAGGCAACTTCAAAAATATGATTTTACAAAAAAGGAAAACTTTCTGCTATTAAAATTAATGACAAATAGATTTGCTGCAGAACATGACATAATCGAATTGATGAAAAAAGGTGCATTATCATTATTTAAAAGATTACGTCTCATTATCATCGGAATTCTGGAAAAAATATTTGAAAGAAGTTTGAATCGAATTTTTTTTTTTTCTGAAAGCAACTGGTTGCATCAGTCCAGTGTCAAATTTTTCTCAACAAAAAGCTGATCTTCATCAGATGAAATCTGTACTACATCTAGTTCTTTCTTGCTCACATATTATTTCAAATGAATGTGATCAAGCTTTCATAAAATTTTTAAAGTTGTTAGAGGAAAGTTCATCTATTCTTTTACTTGTATTCAAATATTTTTACACTGGAAATTGTTTAAACAAGTTTCATTTTGAAACCATTAAAGTTAGTGTAGATTATAAGGTTTTGTCAAAAGTTTTGATATTCATTTTAGGCATCAATTGAGAGAGGTTTCAGTATTACCAGTAATATGCTCAGTGAAAAAATGAAAGGAATGTCATTTATATCTCATCGCACTATCAAGGATTTTATGGAGTCAAACAAATTGAAGGCTAACAAAATAGAAATAAACAATGAAATGATAAATGCTGTTTGTAGTGCATCATTACAATATAAAACTATTAGGAGGAAAATAGAAAACTCCAAGCAAAAGAAAATAGCATGATAATGCTTTTAGATCAAGAAATATTGGGACTTAGAGAAAAGCAAAAGTATTAAAAGATGTATGTAAAACATACAATTAGAAATTTATTACATTCATTACATTTTTTTGAATTTCATTATCTTGTACCCTAAATAAGTCTGACAGGTTTTCAATGGCTATTGAACATATCCGTTTTAAATATACCCTGGTTCAAAGAAAAATTTCATATGTTGATTGAAGTATTTGATTATTTATTGTAATTTTTAAGTAAATTGATTGGTTCATTACTCATTGGGGGATTATAGTATCTGTTTTTTTAGAGGTAAAAATACTCTGGGGTTATTGGAGAAGTTTAAAAGTTAAGTTTGGGCATTTGAATGCTGGAAATATCAGGTGGAAATAAGCAAAATTCAAGGGGAAAAATCTGGAAAAATCAGGGAGAAAAAAGTAAAATTTTAGCGAAAAATCAGGGAAAATCAGGGAGCAAAAAGAAATATTTTGGCAAAAAAAATCAGGGAAAATCAGGGAATTTTGTTCCTAAATAATGTGGCAACCCTGCTCATTTTTTCTAGCAGGAAGAGAATACCTCCAAGTATACCTCCATGGTATTGACATTTTAATAACTGAATTTAACATTCAGTACAAACAGAAAAATTAAATACATTTTATGGATTCAAAAATTAGTTTAAAATGTTTACACAATAAAAATACTTACATTGCTTATTTGCACATTCAGAATTCTCAACACAATTTTACATAATTGATTATTCAACGCATGGTTTGATTTGCTCGTTAGTCATCAAAAAGATTTTTCAAAGTGTACATCTTTTATATAAGTGTGGGGTAGCAGAACAAAGGATCATCTTTGATTAAAAAAACAAGGCAGAAAAACTTGTAAGAAAAACGTTGTCACTTTAAGACTCACCAAAATCTTTTTTGATGAGCTTTGTAGTACACTTGCCTTTTTTCCTAAAACAGGGTTGTAAGTGAAAAGCAGGAGGAATGGTGTCATAAAAGAGATTAAGATCTGATAACAGCGTTGGTAGGATTGTAACATGATGAGAAAAAGAGGTTTTTGTATAAAAATGTTTAAGATTAATTCAAAATTTACAAATTTATAATTAATAAAAAATAATATTTTTATTATATATATTTTAAATAAATTAATAATCTTATGGTAATATATATATATATATATATATATATATATATATATATATATATATATATATATATATATATATATATATATATATATATATATATATATATATATATATATATATATATATATATATATATATATATATATTATTTTTGTTTTTAAAGATCTGAGCGTCAAACTGAGAGAAGAAGTCAAGTTTATGAGTCAAATGAATCCAAATTTAGTGGCCAAGATATGTGCAGCATTGTGATGTTTAACTTGATGTGGCTAAAATTTGAGTATCTATATATGCTCTACTGTAATATTTTATTATAAGATATATGCAGCAGTTGAATTGTAATATTTATATATACCGTATGTGAGTAGAAACATTTTTGAAATCTAAATTGAAAATTTTTCCATAACATAAGTTAAAAATTCAAATTATAACTCAAAACTGAGGTTTGTAGTGCCGGTATCAGTTTATATTACTTGTGGTATCAGTTGTTATATCTTTAACATAAAAAATGCTGTTAAAACGAGATTTTAATTTTAGAATTGGCGAGGACATTATTTGAATTATCCTTTGAAACATCATTTCTGGAGATCAAAAATAATTCGTCAGTCATTCTGAAATGATTTGTTTGCGAATTGTTTCATAAATTTTTCTACAAAGCCATAATTTTTGAGGTTTCATTTTCAAAACGTAAAATCTAATGGAGGTTTTACCATAAACTTTGACAACATATAGTCTACGAGATTGATGCATATATCTGCGTTTAAGGGATTAGCAGGAGCGATATCAAAGTCAATTTCTTCTGAATTATAAAAAAAGTTTTAATCCTGCAAAACATATTAGTTGACGCTATTATTTGATGATCAATACTCTTTTAAATCTTACTGTTGTTTTTTTTAAACAATGACTGAACTGGTTTAAAATATGTGTCACTCCTAACATTTTTTTTTTTTTTTTTTTAACATCTTCACTTCCAACAAGGCTGCAAGCAACCACTATAAGAGTTGGAAGTTACTGGAAGAGAAAAGACTAAATCTGTAGAGCAAGATAACGATTGACTGATGACTTAAAAGATTGCAAATTATATGAATCAGGAAAGCAAGATGAAGGAAGCGAATTCCAAAGAACTGATGTTCGAGGAAAAAAACTAGAAGAATAAGAGTTTTTGAAGCACTTAGGAACAGTCACAGAAAAAGGATGAGACTTAATTGAATGGCGAGTAACACGAGAGTGAATTTTAGTAGATGGCACAAGGGACGCTAGCTCTTTAGAGCAGTGCCCATTATAGTATTTGTAGAAAAGAGAAAGAGAAGCAACATTACGACGATGTGACAAAGGTTGGAGATTGGCTGCAAGAGCAGGTCCAACTATGTTTACAATTCGTTTTTGCACCTTGTCTAAAAGAGAAAGAGCATCATTAGAAGATCTGCCCCAGATGTGGCAACAGTATTCCATACAGGGACGGATTTGAGATTTATAGAGATAGAGAATAGAATCTGGAGTAAGAAAGTGTCGAGCTCGATAAAGAGATGCAACCTTAGCAGATGCTAATTTTGCAATGGATTTGATATACGGTTTAAAAGAAAGATCAGAAGTAAGAGTTAATCCTAGAAGATGAATGGTAGATGACTCATCTAGTACATTACCATTCATAACTATAGGAAGATCTAAATTATTACGATAACGATTGGCCGAATAAAATTGAGTTTTATCTGAATTAAAGTTCACCAGCCACTGTGAGCCCCATGCTGCAGCAGAAGTGAGATCCTTTTCAAGCTCAGATACCCCCTCCAAGCAATCAGAGAGTGTAGGCTTCTTATCATGACAAGAGTAAATGGTAGTGTCGTCAGCCAATAATGCCACCTTAGATGTGAGAATATCTGGAAGATCGTTAATGTAAATTAAAAAGAGTATAGGGCCAAGGATTGAACCTTGAGGAACCCCTGAAGTTACAGGATGTGGAGAAGAGTGTTGTCCATCGAGGACAACTTTTATACTACGATTGGAAAGAAAGGACTCAATAATCTTAAAGACGTTACCAGCTACACCATAAGAAGAAAGCTTATGGAGAAGACCAGCATGCCAAACTTTATCAAAAGCTTTAGAAATGTCAAGTGCGATAGCCTTAACCTCTCCACCTCTATCTAATGCACGGTAAAACCTATCGGTTATTACTGTTAGCACATCAGCTGTAGAACGAGAAGACCGAAATCCATATTGATGATCAGAAAGTAAGTTATTTGATTCAAGATGAGAGATTAAGTGTTTGTTGATTGAAGATTCAAAAACCTTGCTTATGACAGGAAGAAGACTAATGGGACGGTAGTTAGATGAATCAGATCGCTCTCCGGAATTTTTGAAAATAGGGATAACAGATGCTGCTTTCCAGCATGATGGAAAACAAGACTCTGATAAGCACTTGTTAAATAGTTTAGAAAGTATGGATGAAAGCTCCGGAGAACACCTCTGCAAAACTACAACAGGAATGTTGTCAGGACCACAAGCTGTTGAAGAGTCTAAGCAGGAAATTACTTTAGATACAGAAGCTGAAGTGATGCGAATGTCAAGCAAGGGATCAACCTGTTTGACGGCTATGTCAGGTAAAACGCAACTAGTGAAATCAAGAGATGATATTGATGAAAAGTTCTTAGCAAACAATTTAGCTTTGTCTTTAGGTGAGGTGACAAAGTCTGAACCATACAAGAGAGAAGGAATAACAGATTTGCCCTTATTATTGATACTGTTAAAGATTCTCCAGAAGTCTCGAGAGCCTAATTTTTGTGATGAGATACGAGATTTAATGACCTGGGAATAGCGAGCTTGGGCGTCAGACAAAACCTTTTTACAATGGTTTCTGGCGATAGTGAACAGATGTCTGTTTTCTGGAGAATTGTTTTGCTGATAGATATGGAAGTAACGGTTTCGATTAGAAATTGCTGCAGCGCAATGTGAGGAAAACCAAGGAGAAGAGTGAGGCTTGACCTGGAATCGTCGAGAGGGAATAAAAGATTCCATGCCAGCCTGAATCCACGAAGTTATGTAAGAAGCACATTTGTCAGCAGGAAGACGAAAGATTTCTACCCAAGGGCCATCACGAAGAAAATCACGGAAAGAGTCCCAGTCAGCTTTAAGGTAGTTGTATGTGGTACGATGATAGGGGGATTCTGATGAAGTAGAAGAATTTGATAATAGTTTTAGAGAGATCAAACCGTGATCAGAAGTACCTAAGGGTGAATGTGGAGAAATTGAGCACTGACTAGGATCCAAAACAAGACATAAGTCGAGTAGAGAAGGTAAATGATTAGGGTTGTCTGGAAAACGAGTTGGAAAGTTGACTATTTGAGTTAGAGATTGAGAAAGGCAAAAGTTGAGGGCCTTAACGCCAGCAGAGTCACTGACACTAGAGCCAAGCCAATCGGTGTGATGGGCATTAAAGTCACCAACAACGACGATATTGGCCGATGGATAAAGAGAGAGGGCTTGGTCAATTTGATCAGAAATAACATTAAGAATAGTGCAGTCTTGGGATGAAGGAGAGCGATATAGAACAAAGAGAAAGGCGATAGAGTGAAGTTGTGCTAAACGAAAGCACATAAATGAATAGTCTGTAGATTCAAACCTAGTTTCACGACAAATGGGTGAGTTCTTACGAATGTAGATGCCCAGGCCAAGCATGTGATTATTGGAGTCTTTACGAATTAAAGGAAGATAACCATCAACACTAAGATCACAAGATGGGACAGCCGAACTCAAATTAGTCTCACAAAGAGCAAGTAGGTCTGGTGAACTTTGCAAGAGATAAGACTCAACAGAAGAAAAGTTACTTCGAAGACCACGAATATTAGTAAATGATAGGTTTAGAGAACTTGGTGATGACAATGGTTTTTTGTGTTTTTTAGTTTTAGGTACTTTAGTCATTTTAAATTTATAAAGAACTTGACTCAAGTATAGATAGTACTCAGTACACTATTTAACAACTAAGCAATAGCCTCATTACTATTAATAAACCCTAAGCCGTAACAAAGGGTTCCAAATGTGGCCTCTGCAATGCACACCAAAAGTACAAACAGGGACACCATCCATGCGCAACATGGCACTGTTAGTACTCTGATATTTTTCGGCTGTTGATGGAATCAGCCTCTCTGAGAGCTACTACAGAGTTCGGGAAACCTGACTACCAGCCGGCCTCAGAACCATAAAACTTAGTTTTAGAGCTGTACCCTCATTAGGAGATAATAGAATGAGTTGCCCAGTCATAAAAATAGAGACACAAGCAATACCCACGCATTGAGTCAAGAAGATCCAGCGTTCAACATCCTAAACTGGAAACAATGTATTAAAAATACATCTGCGCCAGCCTAATAGATGAGGAAGGGGTGCGAGGCTGGTCAACAGATAGAATCTGTTTACCCCTTAAGTCTTTGCCTAGGAGGCCTTCTACAAGACAGCAGCTGGATGCATGTAACATCTGCCCAAGATGAGTATTTTTATCGAGACACCATCTCTAGCCTTTACTCAACCAAGAGCCCCAAGGCAGGGGGTGTTTTAATTCGGAGTTAACTTCTCCTAGCCTTTGCCTAAAAAAGCGTATCCTACAAGGCAGCAGGACATGGAGCAGGTTGTACTGGGTTACATGTTACCAGTAGCAGGAAAACCTGACCTGACCTAAAATATATATATATACATATATATATTTTATGTCTAAAATATATATATATACATATATATATTTTAGGTTATAAAATATATATATATACATATATATATTTTCTAAAATATATATATATACATATATATATTTTAGGTATAAAATATATATATATACATATATATATTTTAGGTCTAAAATATATATATATACATATATATATTTTAGGTTATATATATATACATATATATATAACAGCATTAGAAGTTGAGTTTATGGATCCACTTCTTTATTATTGTCCCTGATGGTATTCACTTTTAACATTTTTTCAAGAAAGCACTTTTTTTTTTTGTAGTATTGAGAATATTAATTCTATTTAATCACATACTCAAAAAGAGCTCTTTGAAGCAGCTGTCATTAGTATCCTTTTGTTGCTGAGTTTTAAATTACTGGTTTTTGTCGATAATACTTGTACCTGGGATCATTGATAATACCTTGTTTCTGTTTAAAGGAGCAAATATGCCTTTCTTTAAACCAGCAACAACATTTTGGGCTCTTACAATAGTATAACAAAAACAGCAAAACTGTTTCAACGGCATGAGGAACTTATCTTTTGGAACATTTGCTGCATATTTTTCCTAGACCCTTTTCCCACTGCAGAGCCGACGACACCGGGGAGGCACAAACACCC